CAGGCAGAGGCGGGGTGCAAGGCGGGGCTCAGGCAGAGACGGTGTGCACGGTGTGCACGGTGGGGCTCAGGCAGAGGCGGTGTGCACGGCGGGGCTCAGGCAGAGGCGGGGTGCACGGCGGGGCCGGCAGGCAGAGGCGGTGTGCACGGCGGGGCTCAGGCAGAGGTGTGCACGGCGGGGCTCAGGCACGGCGGGGCTCTCCTCTCTGGCTATCCCATCAGCTTCTGAAAGGCTGCTGCCTTGGTCACTCTCTGATATATTAATAAAGATTGCTTTTTAAAAAGTTTGACTGCACTAGGTGCCCGTGGCTCACACTTGCAATCCTAGCTACTCTGGAGACTGAGCTCTGTGAATTGCATTTCAAAGCCAGCCCGGGCAGGTAGGTCTGTGAGATCCTTATCTCCAGTTAGCCACTAGACAACCAGAAGTGGTGCTGTGGCTCCCTGTGGTAGCGTGCTCGCCTTGAACGGAAAAGCTCAGGGACAGTGCTCAGGCCCCGAGTTTCAAGCCTACGATCAACAACAGCAACAACAAAAAGTTTAACTCGTTTTTTCCCTGTAGCACGGGGTTGGTGTGGTTAGGGCCACCCATTCTAACTTGCAGCATTTAGAAAACTCATGTTCATCTGTGGGACTTGAGTCTAGAGCAGATTTTTATTCATTATTTTATTCACTCAAATATGGACTTATATAAATAGGTACCTCTACACAACATTCATTGTATCTATATTTTTGAACAATATGTTAACAATATCTTTCCTGGAAAATGTTTTTTTTTAAACCAGTGCTGGGGCTTGAACTCGAAGCCTCATGCTCCCTGGGCTGCTTGTCTGCCTGGGACTCTGTCCTTCAGGCCATGCCACAATGCTGGCCTTTTGCTGCTTATTTTGGAGATGGTACCTCAAGGACTTTCCTGCTTGGGCTGGCTTTGAACCAAGATCCTCCAGACCTCAGCCTCTTGTGTAGCGTGAGTTACTGGTGCTGAATTGTTTTTATGCTGAAATTTGAAGGCTCTTGGGATTGAGCTGATTAATTTAGCAAACTGATTTTAATAGTTTGTGAAAAAAATATGTTTTTCAAAAGAGAATAATGCACATTGCTTATACCACTATGGGGATGAATTTGTGTCTGAAGTTGTGTGGAAATTGCTGAGTTTTTTGTTTAATTCTCTTTTTCTTCCTCACAGAGAGACGCAAAAAGGCTTCCGCATGGGAAAGAAACCTGGTGTATCCTGCTGTGATGGTTCTCCTCCTCATTGAGACCGTAAGAGCTTACTGGACTGCTTAAATAAAACATGACATTTTATTTACTTTAGCGTTTGAATATAGCAGCTTCCTCATTTAAGTAGCTGCCAGGAAGGTGATTTTTCTGTCCACAAGATTAAAATCCATCTGTCCACATCTGTATTTGTGAAAATTTAGTAGTACAAATTAGAAATGAATGGTAGTTAGAAAAGGTCATCAAGATCAACTATTTCCTGGTGAAGCAAGAACTTCAGCTTGTGTCTTATTGAAAATTAAAACAGAGAACCTGTGGAAAGATAATAAATTATACTATTCAATAAGTTCTGACAATATTACACCTTGAATTCTGTGGAGTTGTGAGTTTCCAGTTGGTGAGGCCACTTAGTAAATGGATCTGTTTTACTATCTTTTAAAATAATAATAGTAATAATAATAATTGTAATTTTTTTTTGGTCCATTGTAGGGCCTGAACTCTGGGCCTGGGCGCTGTCCCTAAGCTCTTCAGTTCAAGGCTAGTGCTCTACTACTTGAGCCACAGTACCACTTCCAGCTTTTTCTGCTTATGTGGTGCTGAGGAACCAAACTCAGGGCCTCATACATGCAAGGCAAGCGCTCCACCACTGAGCCACCTTCCCAGCCCAATAATAGTAATTTGCATGCCAGGCACTGGTGGCTCATGTCTATGATCCTACTACTCGGGAGGCTGAGAGCTAAGGATTGCAGTTTAGAGCCAGCCTACGCAGCAAAGTCTGTGGGACTCCAATCTCCAATTGATCACCAAAAATGCTGCAAGTGGAGCTATGACTCAAGTGGTAGAGTGATATTCTTGAGCACAGAAGCTCAGGGACAGCACCCAGGCCATGAGTTCAAGCCCCAGGATGGGCAAAAGCATACATAATAATAATAATCTGCAAAGTCTTTGAGTTTATTCTAGGATTTTGTATATAGGGACTTGGTTGTATATGTAGAATTTTTATCTTGTCTACCTTTCCTGTATTTTGAAACATACATTTGGTTACTTATGCTAAAGTAATATTTGTATACTGGACACTAAGAGCTGACAGCTTACTTTTGTATTGCAGTCCATCTCGGTCCTCCTGGTGGCTTGCAATATTCTCTGCCTGTTGGTTGATGAAACAGCAATGCCAAAGGGCGCGAGGGTAAAGTAAAGGCTTTTAATGACCTTTGTTTGCAAATGTCTGTGTCCCAATAGATGGTGAATGTTTCCAGTGAGTGCAGACGCTCACCTCCCTGCGTGTGAGTGCGTCGGGATCTGTGAGTGAGTGCAGACGCTCACCTCCCTGCGTGTGAGTGCGTCGGGATCTGTGAGTGAGTGCAGACGCTCACCTCCCTGTGTGTGAGTGCGTCGGGATCTGTGAGTGAGTGCAGACGCTCACCTCCCTGTGTGTGAGTGCGTTGGGATCTGAGAATGTCTTTCTGTGAAGAACTTTCACCTTACCTCTGAACTACGTTTTTGTTTCTAGTCTTTTCTTTTGGATTATCTATATGCAGAGTGTATTTTGATTTTACTGAAATTTGTCTAATTCTTTTGTTGTTGTTGTTGGTTGTGGGGCTTGAACTCGGCCTGGACACTGTACCTGAGCCTCTTTGTGCTCAAGGCTAGCACTCTACCACTTGAGCCACAGCGCCACTTCCAGATGGCTACTTGGAGATAAGAGTCTCACAGGGACTTTTCTGCCTGGGCTGGCGTTGAACTGTGATCCTTAGATCTTAACCTCCTGAGTAGCTAGGATTACAGGCGTGAGCCACCGACGCCTGTCTGTCTTTGTAATTTTTTTTGTTTTTATTGTTGTTTTTGTTGGTCGTGGGGCTTAAACTCTGGGCCTGGGCGCTGACCCTGAGCTCTTCAGCTCAAGGCGAGCGCTCTACCACTTGAGCCACAGCGCCACTTCCTGTCATTCTTTAAGAACAATCAAGCTAACATAAAGTCCATGAAGAGCACAATAGGAAGACAGTGGGTGTGTGAATGATCATGGTGTAGCTGTAGGTTTTATGATCTATGAAGGGCGGTCAGATGCACTTCCTTCTTGTTTGAGAATTTATTAAATTCTCTCAGTGAGCCTCTTTGATTACACTGTCCCTTTGTATTTGGCGTTCCTGGTGTGTTTTGAGACGAGTTCTGTCTCTGTAGCCCGTGCTAGCATCAGTCCTGTTCTTCTGCCTTAGCTTACAAGTGCTGGAAGTATGGGTGTACTCGGCTTGGCACACATTTCTAGATGTCTCTGGTAAGTTTTGGTGTTTGAATTTTGACATTTAATGATATTTTTTCTTTTTTTGTTTTTGTTTTTTTGTCAGTTGTGGGGCTTGAACTCTGGGCCTGGGCGCTGCCCCTGTGTTCTTCAACTCAAGGCTAGCGCTCTACCACTTGAGCCACAGCGCCACTTCTGGTTTTCTGGTGGTTTATTGGAGATAAGAGTCTCACAGATGTTCCTGCAGGGGCTGGCTTTGAACCGCGATCCTCAGATCGCAGCCTCCTGAGTAGCTGGGATGACGGGCGTGAGCTGCCGGCGCCCGACTTTAATGAGTAGCTGGGATGATGGGCGTGAGCCGCCCACGCCCGACTTTAATGATATTTTTTTCTAAGTCAGCAGCTTTACTATCCCACTTAGGGATGACTTTACATGGAAGACTTAATCGCTTGTCTCTGAGCGTCAGACAGTGTGTCTTTCTCTGTCACCATTCTTCTTAGTGCACAGCAGAGTAACTTGTACAGCGAGGGATGTTCTATGTGTCTGTGAATTGATAGATCATCTTACTCTGCTATGGGCTTCCCTTGGGACAGAATACTCCAGAATATTTTCTATTCTGGCCAATATGCATTTGTAGGGAAGAAAAAGTGTCTTTTTCTTATTGTATATAAAGTTCACAATAGAAACACTTCTATTAAAAGGCAGATTAAAAATAGACAAATTTATTTAAGTGATATAACTCCTCAGAAATGAAACCCTAAAGAGCTAGGCCAGTGTGTGTGTGTGTGTATGTGTGTGTGTGTGTGTATGTGTGTGTGTTAGTGGCGGACGGCGTAGGCTATGGTGGTGAGACCTTCTGAGCTCTGGTGTCCTGCAGGGACGTGCCCCTCCCTCAGCCAGCCACGTGCACCTCCCTGAATCTGCCGGCCTCCTCGCTTGAGGGCGGCCTTGCCTTGCGAGGCGTCTCCAACGCTGAGGTGCCAGCTTTCGGGCTGTCTGTCCTGAACTTGACCACTTTCCGTAGCATCATTCATTTCCTCTCTGATAAATTCTTTGTCCTTACTTTGTTCATATATGGAATTTCCCTGGCTGTTCTTATTTTTTATGTTAAAATGCATATAGTATATATGATATTATTTATTGATGTATTTCTTATTAGGAAAACTATACATTTATCTCTTGTATTATCATTTATGCTGAATAATGGAATAGTCATTCATATTCAGAGAGTTCTTTCAATCATTCATGATGAGTAGGCTTTGAAATGTTGTTCCAACTTTATTTATTTATTTATTTTTTTGGTCGGTTGTGGGGCCTGAACTCTGGGCCTGGGCGCTGTCCCTCAGCTCTTCAGCTCAAGGCTAGCGCTCTACCACTTGAGCCACAGCACACTTCTGG